GGGAAAAATTTTTTTCCACAGAAGCCATGTTATACTCAAAAGATATATTCATTATTGAGCATTTTTATTGGAAATATTCATTTTCTGTATTTCAAAGGGATCCTGAGATTGCCAGCTGCTAAAATTGTGCATTGGAAAGTCCAGAAAGAGAAAGCTCTGAGTGAACAGGGAACAGTGGTCTTGTCCTGCCCCGTTTGTCATCTGACTGCTGTCCCTTGATCAACCCTCTGCTTATGATTCCACACAATCCTCCTGCCGTGGCTGCATAGTTTGTCCCTGGGATTAAATGCACACGACTACCTTTTAAGTCACAAGGTGTTAGTCTCTTGGCTTTCAGTGAAAATAACAGTAGTATCTGGCTCAAGGAGTTACAGGAGCATTGTGTGGAATCATAACTGTGAAGTGCCTAGCACACATCAGGCAGAATGTCACATGGTTTAAAAGGGTTCCCGAGAATCTTAGTCACTTTCCCTTTGCTGTGACCCAATACCAGACACTTACAAGCAAAAGAAAGCGAGGTTTATTTTGTCTCAATCCATAGTCAGGAATGTGGTTCCAAGGCAGAAATGGCATGGTGGAATGGTCTGGGGGGGAAAGGAAAGATGTTCGTATTGTGGTGGCCAGGAAGCGGAGAGCAAGGGAGGAGGAGATATACCCAGGAAGTGAGAGACACACTTCCTAGTAACACCCCCAGTGACCGACCTCTTCTGTCTGGGCCCCACTTCCAAACTCCACACTGTGCTGTGCGACTATCACCTCAGTTCACTGGTGAGTGTAGCACAACCATAATCCAGTTGCTTTCCTAACATTTGAGACTTTCGGCGCACATTCTACATCTAAGCCATAACACTGATGTAGAGTTTAAGCAGTTATGTACGTGATTTGCTAGATCATTCTTCTGTATCCTGCACACCTCTGGCCCCACTTACCATTTTCCTCCTCGATGCTCAGATCATTTCTTTGCCTATTAATTTAGATTGCTTAGCACACCCTCTGTATCACATGATGATTATTATCTATGTTGTATATATTTGCATTTAATTATGGTGTACATTTTCATGTCTTCCATGGTTGTAAATTTGCACTCCTAAAGGATGGTGTTGTTTTGGTGTTAATACTGTGGGAAATTCGGTGGAGATCTAAATTAAAGAGAAACGAACTATGCAGAATGCTGGGGGAAGAGCATTCCATGTGGAGAAATAGTTCACGCAAAACTCTCTGAGGTAGGCACGCCTGGCCACTTGGAAGCACGCTTTGAGGAGCAGTCTAGGGCGAAGGGAAAGATTAGCAGAGAAGGACCGAGAAGCCTCAAGAAACCAGCTTTCACAGGATTTTTTCTACTATCAGAATTTTTTCCTATGGTTAAACAGGAAGGCGGAGGGTTGTGGATGGTCCGAATTAAACTTTGAATTATTCATTCTGTTTATTCCGGGGACAAGAACCTGGCTGCAAGGGTGAAGGGCAGAAGCCAGAGACTTTCGAAGAGTCTTGCAATAGTTCAGTGAGGATGGCACTGTGTTACCTTTTGCACTTCCTGTTCTGTGAGGTGACTATTCATGAACATGCTTTAATATCCTTGCTATATTATAAATTCTGTGTGGACCAGGATTCCAACGGATTTATTCGATTGTCTTTAGTTGCCTTGTCATGGCTGCCTTGATGTTCAAAATCCATTCAAAACATTTACCTTTTATGATCATTGTGACTTTGGGGAAGGTTCAGATGTCACAAGGTGTTTAAAGTTAAAGGGGTCAGATTCAGTGAGTAAAGAGGATAAGGGCACACTGCATTGTCTTTACAAAACTGCCTTTCCATTAGATGACACAAAGCACCATCTTTCACATTTTTCATCACATCTCCTAAAGACACTCAAGAAGGAGGCCTCCAGAACTGCTTCAGAAAGTGGCAAGAAGGATGAGGTGTGTGTTTGAACCAAAGGGGAGCATTTTGAGAGCAATTATTGACAATGGGCCTTTTACTATAATTTTTAAAAAATTAAACATTGATTTTATAGTTTGAATACCCATTATATTTATAGAGAGCAGAATTCATAAACAAAAAAAATGTTTGTTGTCCATAGAATATAAAAATGAATTGTTATCACACTCCCTTATCTGACTGTCACTCCCCTAACATTACTCTGTATAATTTCCTCTCATATTTAATTCACATATCTCTCATAGTTAGTAACATATCTCTCTTTATACTGTAAGAGAAAAATAATAAAGTATGAGTGGAGAATAAAGAGGACATTTGAAAGTAAATGATACAGTCCTATTATGCTCCAGGAATCTTTCTAATAATGATAAAAAAATATCAAACATAGCATATATATATATATATATACTTGTACCTATTTGATCTATTTCATGAATTTTATATGTTGATCTCATACTCTGCCTAAAAATATTTTTTATGTATATAAGCTAGGAATTTAGAAAATAGTAAGCTATGCCTAAGCCTGACTAGTCTTGACTTGTAAAATTCCATACAGTATATGGTACTTTGAATGATTAAGTTTAAGTTCATAAATATAGTTGGGCAATAAATGTACAAAAATGTGAAGAAGTAATAAAATTGTATTTTTTCTGTGTCTCATTGAAAAACTTTGGGTTGGGACCCATGACAGTTATCAAATATTATTATCCTACCACAAGAGACTTAAAAGATCTACTTTTCCCCACATGTTTCACAGTGAAGAAGCTAAATTCTATTCTTCTGTAATGGCCCCTGGCATCCAAGAATGGAAGAATAATGCTTATGCTAAGCCTTTCTGCTTAGTATCTGTGGTCTTCCTGACACCTCCCAAATAAAAGTAAAGCTGCTACTGTCTCTAGGGAAAAGGAAATGCCCAGCAGAGTGCTCTAAACAGGCTTCCATGGTAAAATATCCATAAATAATTAATTTTTTGCTTCCTTTAGAATAGGACAGGTTAAGCAGTTGGTCACATTCAGTAAATAAGAAATTACTTGCAGTAATATCTGCAACATTCTAATTATCTTCTCCTGTCTGAAACCCAGTTTAAAAGCCTTTGATCTGCATTACAGTGGAAAGGACATTGAATGTGGAAAAAGATTTGATTATATATTCAGCTTTGCCACCCTCTCTTACTGTGGCTTGGGAAAGTCATTTAACCTAAACATCTCCATTTATTTTCTCGTGATGAAGGGCATAGCAATCTGTACCCTACAGGCTTGTAGTAAGGACCCAATAGGATAAAAGTTGAAGATTACATAGGCACAGGTCACACAATACACCCTTGATAAATTCTGACGCTAAATGACACACTGGGATTGTTACAGCCCTAAAAGTGGTATTTCAGAGTTCCACCCTACATCAGCACAGAGATGAACTTCCGAATTGGAAAATATGCCTCCCATCTTCTTTGTGCATATTATCAAGAATTATAATATACTACAATTGTTTAATTACATCATTAAGTGGGTTTATTTTCTTCATTAAATACATAAGGAAAAGGTTTTCAATTAACAATTACCTTTAGGACTTATTCTAGCTTGGATTCCGTAGGTGGTGAAGCTGACTGCAAATGGGATTCTGCAGTGTACCTTGTTCTTACTTTTTCACCCACTGATTAGATTCCTACAGTTGGCAGCAGTTTGCCCTGTTGCTTTCAGCTTGCAATTTTGTAGCAATCTCAAGCACTGTGTTCAGTCCCTGGAGGTATTCTGTGGAAACGCTGTCAAACTATTTCAGTGTATGTGTGTTTTCATTCTGTAACTGTGCTTTGTACTCATTTAAGAAAACCAGTCTTTAATTTGTAACAGAGCGTTTTCAGGATGAAATACAGAATTTCAAGCCTCAGCAAAATCACTGGCATATGACCATAGCCGTCAGTTCTTAAATCTTGAAGCGCCTGACTTCTATTAGGCACAAAGTTGTACTTTAAAATCTTCTTATAAAATATAACTTTGAATAAATACTTTCAAGTTTACTAATTATGATTTTGCTTGCCATTATTATCTGCCTCAAGTTTGTCTTTCCAATTTCATCTCTCATTCCTCTTCCGCTCCACCCTGTTTATTTATAATTCCATGAAATTCCCAGTTTTCTTATCTTTACCTGGTACAGTATTGCCCACATATACCACTTCCGTTGACCATATTGTGTCTTACACCCCTCAAATATCTTTAGTATTTTCCGTGGATATCCTTTCTCTACATGTCCAACAACCTTTCATGTAACTTGTGTATGGTTTAACCAGTGTATTCTCTTTTGCATCAATCATAATTGATACTTCTGTTTTCCTCACTAGACTAAAATGTGTGGAAAGCAAGGGCAATATCGCTTTTTATATTTATAAATAGGCACCTAATAAATATTTGTTGATACATGAATGGTTGCTAGAAAAACTATTGGAAAGTTTATTGAAAAGACAGCAAAAATATGCTACTAAAAGTATTATATTAGCTTTGCTACATTTAATTACTACAGTCACCAGTAAAAGCTGTTCCTAAATTTATCAGTAAAATACAGTTTATAGTTTCCATGTACAAGTTTACCACTCAGCAAATATTTTTTAAATTAATACTTAGGGGCACTGTTTTATCCTTTCAGCATCAGGTTCATTATATTCATGTTTGGAATGGGCCAAAACAATCTAATTCATGGACCTTTCTGAGTTCTTATAATTTCAAAAAAAAATGTTGTAATGTAGAAAATTGTTATTTGAGTTAATTTAACTTCATTTAGATTTATTTGTCTCCCAAAAAATGAAGCAAGAGTTTGATTTTGATTTGAAACACACGCTCCTATGCGCACACTGACACACACATATTTTTAAAAACTACTATATGCAAGTATTTTTTGTGTTTGCACTGGGGAAGGTGTGGCAGGATGTTCGTATCTCTCGAGTTTATGTCTGATGTATTCATTTGATACTATGCTATTATTCTGCATATGGAAGGATCCCTCATAACAAAGGTAATGGTGTCTCCCATTTTCATTTTGATTAATATTGTTCTGTCTCTGGTAATTCGCAGGTGTTATTTGGAAGATGGAGCTTCAAAGGGTGCCTGGCTGAACCGGTCAAGTATTATCTTTGCCGGAGGTGACAAGTGGTCAGTGGATCCTCGAGTTTCTATTTCAACATTGAATAAAAGAGATTACAGCCTCCAGATACAGAATGTAGATGTGACAGACGATGGCCCCTACACGTGTTCTGTTCAGACTCAGCATACGCCGAGGACAATGCAAGTGCACCTCACTGTGCAAGGTACACATTTCCAGAAATATACTCTTGTAAAGAACGCTGCTTAACATGTTTAATATTTAGATTCCAAATGACTCAGGTGCAACTAACAATACTGAAAGTTCTGTTGTCATTGTCTTCGGGGAATTATGTTGCCAGATACCATTAAGTGTAAGAGCTGCTATAGGCAAAGAAACTCCCACTTACAAAGATCAAGAAATATCCATTAATGCCACATGGTGTTTTCTATACATGATTTACTTTGTCTCTTCCTTTCAATTATCTCTCCAATAAATTTTTGAGAACCCATAATAGACACATTAAAATAAATATTTGAAAACTTATGAAAGATATATTAAAATATTAAACTTTTTAAAATATGGATGGTAACTGTTTAAAAGCATATCCTCCCTGCCTTCCAGCATTCTGTCTCTACCCTGCTTCTGTTTAATTCGATTCAAGTTACAATGAAAAGTGCATGCCTTTTAGAATTATTTCATTTAAATATAGAGTGTGCAAAATATGTACACAATGTTTTGATTTAATTATAGATCATAAATTATGCTATCTAATATATAATCTCCTAATACAGACAGAATCATTAGATTATTTTCCTTCTCTTGCATACTAAAATGAAAGAGCCCACAAAGCTCCAATACAAATAATTTTCAATACAAATGCAAGTATACTGCTGGTGAAATGGAAAAGTTTTATTTTGCCCCTTTCCATTTTGACTTGTGCTCTACAGATTAATCCTGTTTTTGTTGCATAGAAGTATTATTCTGTGTGCAACTCAACAACACTGCAAGATTTGTAAGCAAAATTAATAACAGATCATATGATAACACGGTGCCAGTTGCACACATGTTCAATGCGCAATGTAAAATTGTTTGAGCGCCTTGGTTGTACTAACTCTGAGTTTATCTTTCAGTACATTACAGAGCTTTAGTTACTCATATAAAAATAAATCTGAATTCATACACAGCCTCATCATTTCAATAAGATTAAACTTCTTTATTAAACAGTTTGCCTTAAGGAGTAAAGTATAAACTGAATAACAAATCCATGAATGTTCTCAGTAGTCTTTTTCAGTGCAGATTGTTGCATAGTGTGATGATGTTTATTATGTGCCAGTCTCGGATGAGAGTAGAGTAAATTTTTCACAAGAATCTATCTTTATTCTCAGATTATTCAGCGAATCCAAAGGGTGGGTGTTCACCCAGCTTCAAAAACTGACGTGAGATTACAAGACACAAACACATTTCTTCTGTTATCCATGGCTAATCTATTCTTGTATTCAGTTTTATGGCCTTTTGACCTGAATTTCTAGACCAATGATTGCAAAAGATTTTTATTTTCTGGGCAAAAGTATACTTGGACAGTGATATATTTGAGTCACTGAAGATACAGACATTTTACTTGTACACTGCAAACCTTCAATAATATATTTCTGAATACTAAGTATATTCTTTTTCTTTTTGCATTTTCTCTTCTTCTGTGTTAGGCTTCTATTTTTAAACCAGACTATGATATATAAATCCTTCTCAGATAGATGTTTAATTCCCATAGGATTTCTTTTCAATAACATATTACACAGATTGTTTGATATTGTTAAACAACTTTAAAACTATCATAGGACCTCCTGTAGTCACACTCATTTTTGCTGGCTATTTGATAATAGTGAACTTTTAGGCAGTTAAAAATGTTCTTATTAAATGTTTTGTCAGGGTATTATTTCATACCTTTAGAAAATAACAAATCCACACTACTGTTTTGAACATATATAATTGGGTCAAATTCAAAGCTAATAATTTTACAGTATTTATGAACATAATTACTTATTATAAATTGATTGACATGTGGGCTGTTTTCCAATTACATTAATAAAGCTCAGTGAATATATTAATAGGCTTGTCAGTCAATTCAAGAACTAAATAAATGTCATAAAGAGTCACTTCCACTTAAGCTACATTTCCTGTCAATGAACAAAAATAAATTGGTGTGCACATCTCTTCAGTTTCTAAATATACTGAATTGTGCAATGCTCAGGTGTAGAGGGAAAGAGTTGAAGCATATGCTCTTTACCTAACAATCTGTCAATCCTTTATTCAACTTAAAGAACATTAGCAATGAGGGAAGACTGTATTAATCATTGATGTCAAATATATGTTCACTGGTACACACAAAGATCATCTTCCATTGTTGCAACCAGGTCCTCGAAGGAGACACATTTCTGCAGATCATTTTAAAAAGGGGATAGCAAAGTGAGTATTTCACCAATAGAGACTTTATGCCTAGGAAATTGTTTGGTTCAACTTCTCTTTCACAGCTTTTATTTAAAATGAATAGAGCAAGAGTTAAAGAAAACACTGGAGTAGGAATCAGCAAACCTGCATTCCAATCCCAAATTTCCCTTCCTAAGATGAACATTACCAGCTATCTGAATACTAGTTTTCTCAGTTGAAAGAAGACTACAAACAGCAAACCTTTAAGTCAAAACTCATAAGAAAACAACGAACACAAACATAAAGAAAATAAACAAAAAAGCCGCTCTACTGTGATTATTTGCTTTTGACTTAAAAGGGCAAAAAAGTATTTAAATTAAAAAATGAAAGCTATTCCATAACTAACTTACCTTGGGCAAGATACAAACTAAATTTTATGCCTAGAATCTGCTAGAATTTACTGCACAAGTAGATTTCTATTCTTTTCTATTCTTTTATCAACTGAGCCGAACAATGTATGTACTCATCAAATTTAAAGAATGTGATAAATTGGAACTTGGTTTTAAGGTAGTGGAAACTGCCTAAAATACTCAGAAAGAAAATAAATGTTTTCTTTTACTTAGATATAATTTGGTATTACTAAAATAAAATTACCTAACTATTCAGTGTTTCATGTCATGTGATAGAGCATGGACTTAGATCAATCTTCCTCATTTATGAATATAAAATGTGCAAGAGTGATGAACATGTTATGAAGCTAGAATTCCCAGTTATAATACCGAGAGACAGAAAACATGAAATGTAAGTGATTCTCATGTGAATATATGCTAGAATAGCTTCTACTTTGAGGGATCCATAATGTGCACCGGGTGATGTAGAGAAAATATAGACACTCACAATTATTGTATATGAAATGTTTATCATTCTACCTATGTACTTTTTGGGAGTTGCGGTCTAGGAATTCTCTGCATAGGAGATTCAACCAGCACATAATTCTATGAACGAAATACACTCTCAGGTGTATTTAACTTCTTATGATATTTGCATTTCCTCTGGGTGATTGATTTACCTGAGGTTTTGTGACAGACTGTGGCTCTGCTTCCTTTTTCAAGGTAGGGCTGTTTCCCTAGCCACCGAGAAGGTTGTCATCAGAGAGAAGTCAGTGATTGGCCCCTTGGGGGAGACCTCCTCAGTTCCAGAGAGCCATCCTGGCCAAGGTCAAGCACTGGCTAGAATAGCCAACATCCAGTGACTGACGGAGGCAGGGCTGGAAAGACCCTCCCCTTGGAGTCCAAAGTAGGATAACTCAAATGAGCCATTTACTGCAGAGCTCCAGTTGGGACAGCTGAGCTGTGGTCTAGCCTCTGTTATAGATCAACTTCTTCCTCTGTTCAGTCTTATTTCTCACCTCTCCCTAGAAATTGATCACAAGCCTATTTCTTAGTAAATATCCTGCACGCCAAAATCCATCGGGCTTCAGAGTCCTAAACTATGGCAATGTTAGGTCTTTCCCTGGCTTAGTCATTGTTTTGAAAAAAGTTTTTGCAAACTTTTTGGAAGAAACAACTCACTCAAATACCATTTATTATTGACATTCACTTTTATTTAGGAAGGGGTTGAAAGTGGCTTCTGAAGAGCTATTCAGTATACCAAGATAGAGAAAGTAGAAGGCAAAAGACAAATAAGGTAAGAGTAGAGTGCAGTCAGAGGTGAAGTTAGATCATAAAATCCATGTCATGATTTCTATATACTTTCAGAACTTCTTAAAATGTTTAGTTCTAAGACTCCTGGCAGCCCGTACAGGGAAGCACAGGATCAGTGATTCATTTCATGGTCCATAACCTCTCAATACCCCGATCTTCTTATTCAGAATGAAGAAGCATTTCCGCTGTGACTCAGGTGAGAGAGGCACAGCGAGATTGTAGAATGTCACAAGGGAACTATCATGGGACATACAGCACTCTTTCACTGGGCTATTCTTTATACCACTAACCTAAAGTGGAGAGGAGAAAAACTTTTAAATAGAAATTAAACAGAATGCCAGTTGAATAGCACAAAGATAGTTTCATTTTGATATTACCTTAATCTATCAATGCATTTAGAGCCCATACTTGATACAAACATCCAAAATATAATTTCTCTAAAAGTGTTTTTAATTTTAAGGACTCAAGTACATGTACATTAAAATTGTACTTACCAATGAGTATCAGAAGCACAATTATCTATATTATTTTAAAACCAGCATCTTAACTTACTATTAATGTCTTTCTGATGGATATTAAGGGCTTGCCAAGTTGCTCAGCTGAACCCAGGGGTAGCACATTTCCATTCCAGGCTCAGTTGATGCAAATACATGGCATCTCAGGACATAGGTCTGCTTTCCAGGGAAAGAAAGCTGTAATGGTCAAAAAAGCATGTCAAGTACCATGTATGCTGGAAAATTCAAGTCATTGTTCTGCAACAGTGAACATTTCAAAATGTTCAACAAGCGACAAAATGAAACCAAAGAAAAATTATCAACACCAAGAAAAGTTTCACAGTGCCCATGGATGTCAAAGTATTCATTGTTTACTTGCAGTGAGGGCTCAGGAAAAGGTCCTGCAACTGACTTCTATTATGTTTCATTCAATCTGTATTTATGGCCTTGGGGAAGATTAAGATTATGCACATGCTCCAAAGCACAACGAAATGGACAGTGATCCCAAACACACACTCTTAGGATTTTTGACATGGAAACAAATAATAAACCATCTAAAATAAAAATGGCCCTATATCTATGTTTTATGTATCATTACTTTA